AAGGGGCACCCAGCTACCATAGTCTCTCCAGAGAAAGAATTATTTCAGAGTTTAATATGTACTGCCACTGAACAATATATTCCATGAGGAACAGGCAAAACCAGTCACAGAGTTAACCACCTAAAGCTTCACGGATGAACCTTTGATAAAAACTTCACTGTTGACACCAGATGCTACTGTGATTTGGTTAAAAACAAAACTAGCAGGACAGTTATTTTCACGGCAGGAACTTCAGAGACTTAGAAAGCAAAGAATGTTGCTAGGCTTTATATTAAAAAGTGTGAGACATTCTAAACATTCTTAGACACAAGATAGACTGCCATCTGTTTTACAGTTTCCTGGGTTGAGTTTGCCAAAAAAGGCCAGGGATTGTTTCAAGGCGAGCAAGTTTGTTACATGCATCTCAAAACAGCCCAAATGGTACTGCTGTAGTTGTTCAAGACAATTGCAGAGGCAGTCACTGTGAGCCGGTAACTTCAGAATCGCATTTTTCCAGTTGGCATTGGAAAGTGTCGAAGGCAAAGCTAAAGAAGGCATAGGCCGTTCTAGCAAAGGTAGAAAGGTTCTTCTCATAAGGTATGGAGTTTAACTGTAGTGTTTGAGACCAGAAAGTGGCGTCGACACTTGACAGACATTCCTGGAAGAACATTATTGCAGGGACACAAGTTATAAAATGACTGAAAACTACTTGAATCATTCCTACAGTGAGTTGGGTTTTTTCTAGATGGGAATCTCTCACCTATCAAAAAGCAGGCAGAAGAAATTCAGAACAACAACGGGAAAAGGAAAACCTGACCAAAAAGAATGACCAAATTAGATGCCCGTGTCAAGCAACTATGATAGGTAACATAATCAGCTATTATTAATATTAACAAATGACCAGCAGCAGCACTGTACACTGTATCAACTCTTGCCTCTTCCCGCTCGTAGGCAAAGAAGCTTTGCATTGGAAACGTTCCAATCAGTTCACTGATAGTAATGGAAAGTGGAAAGTATGTGGAAAATATGCATTACTTGACTTTAAAAAAAGGATTTGAGTCAAACCAACACTGAAGTCGTCAGTGGTTCTAAATTTGCATTGCTGATACACTAGATGTCAAGGCTTACATAGCCTTCATTCTAGTCTTGGCACTTCAGATGGTACAGAATGAGAAATACCAGGATTCACAAAACAAACCAAAAATAGTGGAATGAAGCAAACACAAGCATCATTTTACTCTGTGACTCAGAAAACATCTCTCACATACTGCTCAAAAAGTAAAAAGGGGACAAGATTGGAGCAGAACTTAAGTTCACAGCATAAAACAGCTTACTTAGTACTTTGCAAATGTGTGCTGCTTGACTAAGGCTCCTGAACTCAACTGACTTTCTCCCTTTCTCCCATGAAGGCCCATCTCCCTCTATCAGTAAGAAAAATAAGGTAAGCAGGTAGAACTCAGCTTCAGTAACACAAAAGGACATCGTCCAGCTAATAAGTGCAAAAGGAAACTTTCCAAAAAAAACTAAAGCTTAAGGGAAATCCCAAGCTTCGAGTACACTGAAAAAGAGAACATTCAGAAGGGTGTAGGCTTGTCCAGGCTATTTCAATCTACAGAGATTCCTCAGTGATCTTACCCTTATGATACTACTTTACTCATCACTAAACATTTAGCTATATATATATTTTTTTACCTCCTCTTCATGTAGAACCACTTGACCTTTGAGCGGATTTCCCAGTGGTGCCACAGTCACAAAAGGTTGCCAGACATTTCCTACTGTTCTTGGGAAGAGGTCATAAAGGTCCACAAAGTACCCACTCTTACTAGAAACATTCATGAAGTACACAGAAACAGGATTGCAGGTGGCAACATAAAGAACATTTTCAGCTTCCTCTTCTGAAATAAGAAAATAAAATTAATGAAAGGCTATTGACATGGCACAGTGCTCTTCCGGAAATATATGATGTCATAAACTTGGCAGATGATACAGCAAAATGTACAGAAAAATTATCACCACTGACACAAGGAAATAGAGAGAGAAGGGTCTCTTGATAGTAACGGAATGTTAACAGTTAGAATCTTGCCACAATGCTATTAACTCTTTAAACAAGTAGTCCAAGGCACATTTATGTAGACATGACTGCAGCGCCTGCCAGCTGTTAGCATATACAAAATCTGTCCAGATGTTTTTGTTTATAATATTGGTTCTCCCTCTTTCACTATCCCATCCTCCTCTTCAGTTCAGGCATTTAATGACTAAACATAGGGCGAATGCAAAATTCGTATGGAACTTTTCACATAGAGCACCTTCCTGACTGATTTCAGACAATTGTTGAAATCAATACAAAGCCACCTAATTTACGTTTTGCTGCCATAAAAGTCTGCTAATGTATTTGAAACTGAGGCTACAAACAGAAAAAGCAACATTCCAGTATTGATCAAGAGCAGTCTATCTGTAATACACAAGAAAGTTTAGACTTGTTTAATGATGAACACTGAAAGTGTTTATGAATATTCCCAATGATGCATTTCACTTTGGGACATAAGTATAGGTAACTAAGGTAGGCTTGATCTATTGAAAGAGAACTTTCATCAGTATAAGCACAGGAGAAAACAGCACAGCACTCTGCAAGTTAAAAAATTCATATTAAAACTGAATTGAGACAGGAAACATCAACAAAGTGTTTTTGTGAAGTAATACAATGTTGAACACAAAAACCGATTCAGACTTGCAATTTTGTCACTGTGTTCTACTTTAATTACATATCCTTCTCTTAGTTTGAGAAAGATGCATATCCTTACAAAGACCACAGTGACTCAGTGAGATTATACTCCAATTTCAGTGGCTGATTATTTTTGTATTTCACCTACTGCTAAAAAAATAGTGGAAAACCATAAATTATTATGCCTATACTCCATTCCTCTACTCTATATCCTCCATTCCTATATTCCTAGTATTATTCCTATGCTCCACTGCAAACATACCTAGAAATACACACTACTGTAAATGCACCTGTGTTGTTAATTATATTCAGAATTGCTCATATTGTCCTTTTACATTCTTCCACCAGCTATCAGTAAATACTTACGAAGTCAACAACTCAGGCCTTCCCCATCTCCAGGATATTTCACATATTTATAAAACTGGGGTTCATTACAAAAAAGTTAGTAGCTTTTCTAACCGCACCTTTTGTTACTGTGACGTCACAAACCAAGTTAATTTCACCCAAAGGAAGTGTCCAAAAAGCGAGTTCCTCTGTGAAACTGAGGGACCTGGCTTCGTGTCGTTCCACTGGAAATCCTTGAATATTTAAGTATACAGGGCCCTAAAACAAATAACAACAATGAGGACTCACTAAAATATTCTACTCACCATTCTTCAATCCTTAATACTATTAACAATAGAAATAGTCCAATTACTAAATACATAAAAGGGAAAAGGAAATGCTATTTTGCAAGCTCTCTGAATGTCAAAACTGCCATTTTTTTACAGTATGGAAACCATTACGTCTTTCCTCTTCAGTCTTTTATTGCTTTGGAACCATTACTGCTCAGTAGCACAAAGGAGGTGTCATGTAGTGATAAAACACAGTTCATACAAGGAAAAAATCACAGTATCTTTGCTTCTAAGAAGTTCAGTGGCAATTTCTTATTATACCAAGTTTAACTCTCATCCCTACATCACAACAGCAGTTCAGGTTTTTCCTTATTCACTGCAGAAATAATTACTGAAGTTAGGCCAAGAACTCAAAACTGAAAAGGACTTAGAAAATTTAGCTGCAGGCCAAATTGTACCAAAGGTTCACATTCAAACTTCACAGTGCCGAAGACCCAGAAGAATTCAGCTGCATGCAAAATAGAAACAGAAAACAGCTTTCTCTTCACTCTCTGATCTTATCCAAAAATTGAGATCTAGAGCCTGAAAATAGCTACTTCCAAGCATCCAAACCAGATACAAATTTTCTTTTCAATATGGTATTTTCAATATTCTTATAAAACCCCCTTTTCAAGAACTTCTGAATAAGCTTACTGATATTAAAGCACATCTTACATTGCGCAGACTAGGTATTCAGAACCATTTATTTTTCTAGTCAGTATAAAATCCCCAAGGGCAGGTAGCAAGGACCATGCTTTGCACACATTCTTCTTGAAGAAATTAATCATGTCTTAGATTCCTTATTCTAGAATCTTTAGGCTGGAAAAAACTCTAAGATCTTCAAGTCCACATTAATCGCATTTTAGATTCTTTGCATCCCGATATACAAAAACCAGCATTATATGAATTAAAGAAAGAAAGGGAAAACCAAGACAAACCTTTACATCTATTTTTTGAGTTTCTGTTGGACACAGCAGTTTCTGACGTGCATTCCCCGGCTGATCGACTTTCCAGTAGCCCATAAATTTATGCTCTGGTAATGGCAGTCTGTCAAATAATGTAGGAACAAATGAATTTTTGCATTCATTAACCAGCAATTGATAGGGAAGAAATAATTTAAACAACTGCATTTTTCCAACGAGACAGATCTGAAGATCCTCCTGTAGAAAATTATTTCTTGCTAAAATATTTAACTTTTTCTAAGTTTTTGGTTTTAAATCACAAAAATTTTAGTCTTCTGGAATACTAATACAGTCGCAACCTAAACAGCAACATAAAAGAAGGAGGAAAACGTTTCCGGTATGAATTATTTGAGATATATAATGAAACACATCCAAATAGTCTCTTGCTCTGCTTTATTCAGATCAGGCAGGGTGTGACAGTACAACTTAAAGGAACTCCTGTCAGTGGCACACTCATTTAAAAACCCAGCAGAATAAACACAGTAAACACCGGGGCAAGTTAACTATGCAATAATAGTTCCAACAAATTTTTTCCATGTATTTTATAACTGCTCACATGACCAAGGGCAAAGGAATACAGACGTGAGAGTATCCCCCTGCCTTCTGGGCAGTACAGCCTACAGAAAGGATGGACATCTTCGAAAGCCTCGGTTGCTTGCCTTGGTCTAATTTCTTCATTTCTGTACCTTTCATTTAGGAGAGAAATATATGGGCCACAGCAAAGCTCATTTATACAGGAAAAAAACCGCTGGCATATGACAAAGCAATTTGACAACAAAGTAGGGACATCACTATTTTTATTTCTTTCCTGTGATTTGGAACCACTGAAAGCAGTTTGACTTTGTTAACTGGCATAAATATCTTCAAGCTAATGAACTCATCACTTTTGGTTTCTTTTATGTGGGATCAGTTGCTCCTAAAGAGACCTACTATCAAAACTACATTCTGTGTTAGATGCCGTTGCGTATTATTTAACAGCTACAGGACTTGGCAAGAGAATAGAACACATTCCTACTCTCAGTTTCTATAAATATCTCCAAAGTCTATTTTAAGGAAGTTGGTTTAGACTGTTTATTAGAAGTCTGTGCTTGGTCTCTTCTGTCTTGTCTGACGATGCTCGTTCCTACTGTTACAATTATTTCCCCCCTCCCTGCCAATCAACCTGGCCCGTCTAGATGTTAAAGGTTTGTTTAATTTCTTCTTGATTTTCTTTTCAGAATAAGAAGGGATGCCAAATCAAAAATATCTCAGTTGGACTATATATGAAACATAGAGAATTTCAATTTTTATTTTATTTTTTCCACTAACAACATAAAAGAGAAGTCAGGGAATGAACAGTAATGCTACAACCTTTGCAACTCCTGCAGGAAAGCTGCATTAGTATTTCTTACGGGTATACTGACACCAAAGCTCAAGGAACCAGGAGAAGCCAGGACTCACAGGCAGGTAGTTGCTCAGTCTCCACTGCCATTCTGCATTTGCAGCATCTACCAAGGCAGTCAGATAGCCAAAGACACTTTTTGCCAACATAAAATGGTTTAGATGCTATAGATTGTTGGTGCTTATAGATAAACATCCAGCAATATGTCACTGCAGCATATAACGAGGAAAGTGGATCTCATGAACTCCCTCTCTTAGTCAAAGAGCCAGTAGAGTCTTCACTGCCTGTTTGTGGCCTAATTAAGAGCATCAATAGATACTGATAGGTGAAGGGTGATTTATTTTTCATTCTTTCTTACTCCAGTTTGCATTTTTCCATTCTTTACACCTAGCTAGTGTAGTCAGATTCTTCCCAAATTAAGAAGAGAAATCTAAGCAGACTCAAAAAAAAAAAAAAAAGAGCAAGTACAATATATTGTTGATTACAACATTCAACACCATTAGGAAAAACACTCAGGTTGCACTATTTCAACATATACACAACTCTCAGATAAATTTATTCATGCAGTCAGAAAATGGGCAAACAGTCAAGTCACTAGACTAAATGTCAAGTTTATCCATGAACTGGGATTTTGCTTCCAGCTTCCATTTGTGTTTCAGAATGATTTATTGGCAAAACGTTGGTTATGTCTTGAGCCAAAACTGTCTTGTGTGCAAGAAGAAACTGGAGAATTTTTTTGTGCAATGTGACTCTGAGTAGCATAATCTCCGATATGCCTATAATCGGCAATAATTGTTTCCTGTTAGCTCAGTGGAACATCAACTTCCACAAGGATTTGGACTTAGGTTTTAATTCCTTACACATTACTTCCATGGACAACATCCTAGAAACCAACAGGTTCACTAATATTCATGAATACTTATTAGATTTTAAAACAAAACATATGTTAATAACCAGCTCTAACCAAATACCCTGCTTTATATAGCAACAGAATTACAGACTGCATTCCCAAAGAAACAAAACATGTTCACTCTCTTTCAGCTTTCTGGAGATTTGCTTTGCTAACAGTTCCTCTCCCACAAAAAATTGATTTCTCCTTTCTCCTAGATTCCTGAGGTTTTCTCTTCTGTGTTTCTGAATGATTTAGTCTGAGGTAGCAGACAAAGTCATCATGAACAGCAAAGAGGAGGGAAAGGTAGATCAGAATTTAAGAATAAAATAGAAAGTAGAATACATAATACAGAGTTCTTTGTCAAGAGTTACAGGGATCTTATTCTTCCAGGGCCTGACAATTCTTTTTTACTCCAGCTCACTGCTCTCTCATATAAATCTGGTCTAAGAAAGACTAAAAGTACTGAAGATGGTGGCATTAAAAGTCTTATAACCAATCTGCCTCCTGCATGATTTTCAGGACAGGGTGAGGGTGCAGAAGGACTGGAACAACATGCCCACATTGAAAACATGTACACATCTTAACAGTTTTCCTCTAGTAATCATGTGTGACCTGCAGTGAAGGAGGGAAGTCATCTTCTTTTCCCAGGACCTGTAAGTTACAAGCAAATTGTGAAAAGCACTTGAAGTTACAGCACCAGTAAAGAGCTTCACAAGGCACTCCTGCCACATGGCTGTATTTCAAATTAATTAACTAAATACTGTTCAGATAAAAGGCAGACAGAATACCCTGGAAATGCCACCACAGGCCAAAAATCTGCAAAGCAGAGATCTGATGGGTGTAAAAAGTGCAGTGGCTGGGTAAGAACGGTACTGAAACTCCACTGCTCTCTCTCCCTCTGGGATGCACACAGTGATCCATGATTATTGCTTTACTCAAAAGCTGGAAAGGGTTTCTAGAACAGAAAAAAAATGCACAACAGACTGCAGTAATCTTGTAAGAAAGCCAAGACTTAAAAGCAAGTTCTAAGGAATTATTCCCGATCAGTTATTTAAGTATAGATTTGTCAAAGCCTGTTGCTAAAGCAAAATTTAGAAACGTTTTTTAATGTTTATTTACTCTTAATTTTACAACCGGGCTTTCTGCAAGATCACTGCTGTCCATGAAATGGTTACATAAGCAGGTATTCTGTTTTATAAAGGTGATTGCCCAACTCCTCCAGCTGACGAGGCAATTGTACAGAAAATTAATATTTAGCCTGATTTTCTTCACACACAGAGGTCAAAGAGGAGACAATCTGTCAAAAGATAATTCTCTAGTGGCTTCTGCTGCCAGAAAACTTTACAAAGTGACACCTACAGAACACCATTTCTTTTAATTTGTATAGTTTTGATTTTAGAAAATAAATTAATTTAGGGCTTATTGAAAAAGAAAGAAACAAACAAACCCAAAACCAAAATAGCGAGTGTTCAAAAAGTCAATAGCACCTGATTTATAAAGTCATTTATTTAGTTTTCAGAAACGTAATGGGAAGTGGCTAGAAAACCTGTGAGACTGAAGTTCCACTGAATGCCAATGCCCTACTGCCAGCCACTATGGTACTAGCAGAGCTGCGGACATGAACCATGGCAGGCAACAAAGCTGCCTAACACGTGATCTTGTACACCAGCTCAGTGCCGGCACAGACTGTATCAGTCAAGAACTTCAGCAACAGCTTATTATTTAGCTGAAGAGACTTCTACCCCACCTAACTTCTTGGACTTAAATAAGATACAGTTCAAAACTAGGAAAATTCCTTCCCAACCAGATCTCCATACTTTATTTAAACACCTTTGGATTAAATATATAAGCAGTAGACATACAGAACTGTCTTTTGTTAGGCCTCCCATTCCCTGAAATGCATAGGATGCACAAGAGACATAGGGTATGAGACAGGTCCAACAATTAACTCCAAATTACCTGGGGGAAAAAATAACACAACAAAACAGTCTCAAGAGAAATTGAAACCTTTTAAAAGGTACGTATGTACATTAAGTATAAAAAATTCCATTCACATGAAATGAATATTCATGACATAACAAGCACCTGGAAATAGACAGCGACAGGAGGAAAAATATGTAATGGCAATTTCATCAAGGATAAATGGCAGAGTTAGGAGCTGAATGCTGTTTTACCTAGGAATTGCAAATGGTCTGAACTGTGCAACAAAATGGCAGATTAATGGGAGTTCAGACGAACGTGACGTAACAGACATCAACAGGAAAAGCAAGGTGTAATGGTACACAAAGAAAGATAATTAATTAGTACAATGAGTTATCCTTTTTACCCACTATGACTTGGCAAAGCATCGCAGACAAGCCATCTGCTTTACACACAATACTGATAAAAATTATAAACTATTGAACAGGTGAATCCAGGGGATACAGACAATATCATGATGTTACAACCTGACAAACACTGAACATGTCAGTCCCTTGAAAAATAGACATTCTATTTGGGGAAAAAAAACCCCAAAACTGAACGAAGCAAAAGTCCAAGTAAAGCATTATTTTATAGGTCTAACGTAAGATACTAATTTTGGAAATAAATTAATTACCATCTGCAGATTAATTTCTCTCTTGAAAAAATAACTACTGCAAGAATTCTTTTCTAAATGGTCATTAGACATCATCTAATCTTTCCTTCTAAGATTAGGTATATTAACTCCAGAGCCTAAACTAAAATTCCCTAAAGGTCTCTGGTACCGTTCGTTAAATTTTCCCTCTAATTTCAGCTAGACACAACCCACAGAGTTCCTTCCACTGTGACCTTGTATTATAGTTTGTTCCTTGTGCCTCTCATATTTTTGTACCTGTATTTACAGCATTAATGTTTCAGAAGCAGTTTAAATAATTCTGATTTATTCCAGTTTTCTTTTAGATGAAGATGAAGTAATAGGTGAACAGAAAGACTTCTCCAAAACTTAGTGAAATAAAATGAAGATTCACAAATTGAACCAAGCCATACCTGTCTAAAGGAGTCAGCATTTCAGTATAATGATTTTCCTGTCTTAGAATCCCCTGGAAATACTTCTGTATTGCAAAACTTCTTAACCGCACAGGATTTATATTCTTATCACAGATTCACAGAGTGGTAGGGGTTGGAAGGGACCTCTAGAGATCATCCAGTCCAACCCAACTCCCCTGCCAGAGCAGGATCACCTAGAGTAGATCACACAGGAACAAGTCCAGGTGGCTTTGGAAAGTCTTGCTGCAGATGTGACTAACATCCTCAGGAAGAATAGGTTTGGTCTATCACCCTAGTTGTCATCTTACTTAATAGAATCACTGAGGAGTGTATTATACTAGCTTCTAAGTCTTAAAAGTCTTACAACTCAAGACTCGGAGCACAGAAGTGAACCTCCGTGGGGGTACGCTGTTGTCACTTGGACACTGTAAAAATCACACCTAGTAAACCTTCAGATTGCCAACTTGTGAGAGACTATAAGAAGGCAGGAAAACAAGCTTAAAATCGAAAGTGATCTTGACAAGTCAGAGAAATAATCTGAAAAAAATAAGAGTAAGAAAACGTGTAAGCACGAAGGAAGTTGATTACTTAAAATGAAGACGGCGTAGGTGCTATGCAGGGTTCTGAAGAAAGGATCTGGAGGTTCATGTTTAGAAAACTGGACGAGTTAAACATTGCAAGAAATGCAAACACACTGGGGCCTTTAAAAGGCACTGCTGCATGAAATACATCTCACTTTTACACTCTCCTACTACTCCACGCAGCTCCAGCAGAAACCAACGTACAATGCTTAAAGACGGACAGGAATCAAGTGGACAGGGGAGAATGAAAGAAAAATAACAACAACCAGAGGCCTTGAAAAAGGGGGAAGATTGAGTGAGCTGGATGTGTTTAGAGATGACTTTCTAATGGCAATGGTATTTAGAAACAAGACTGGCTTACTTTGGGAGGTTCTGAAGGTTTTCAGGTATGGATCATGACAAAAATCAGATAAGAAGGTTTTAGATTAACGTGCATCTTTTCTGAAGGAAGTAGGATGGACGCACCATTATCCCACTCTCAGTATAGAGGAGGTCAGTACGCTAGTTCTAAAGATATAGCAGCTTCAGGAAGTACCTTTTCTGCAGTGGTCCAAACACCATACCCAATTACCTCAATACGTTCATCATGGGAGCTTGCAATATGGGCTGGAAAGGATTTGGAGAGATTATCTGGGTGTTCTTCTACTCCAAGGCAGATTCAATTGTGCCTAAATCATTCCTGAAAGATGTATCTTAATTCAAAGTGATCCACCTGTGGCTTACAAGCTCCACAAGGTTATATATCATGACTAACAGCAAGGCTGTCTTGGAATGGAACAGCAGGATAACCTGAAACGCCAGCTGTGGTGGATGTAAATGACATACTGAGACCAAGACTGTTGGATCACCAGAGGCAGGTGGTCATCCTAGGCCCAATCTTGAACGGTGAGATCTAAGAAAGAGTTGCTTTTATCGACTGCATGTGAACTGCTCCTGTAGTTTCTCCTCCCCTTGGCTATGAGTATGCACTCATAGCTGCCAGTCAAGTGACTCAATCAGGTTTTTGCTGAGTATCATGTGAGGGTCTTGTAAGTCTGTCATCCTTGGTGTAACCTGTCCTATAAAACCTCAGTGATGGATTCAGAATGATCAGGTGATTATCCCTAATTCAGTAAGGTCAGATCTTTCTTCTACCTTCTCACTTCTAGACTGAACAGTCCCCAGTTACAGCAGTCTTCCTCTTAGGTTTCTTAAACCTCTGATCTTCTCACTACTAAGGGTCCTCTCCCATCCACTCATATAAACCCACATCTAATACTTCTAAAAAGTATATGAAGTGCAAATTTCTCAAAAACTATGATAAAAATTGTAATTCTTTAAAACAGAAATTACAAATGACTTTTCGTAAAGAAACTATGGCAAGAGCTTCAAGTGTGTACCGTCAATGTGACAGACACTGTACTCTCTCAAGTACTGGTTCCCCAGGCATGTAATTCTTCTGTCATCCAAATTAAAAGGTACACCACAGTCATTACACTGCCAATCTTATTTTAATAGTTATATGTAGGATGTCAGAGATGATAATAGTGGTGCTCCCACACGGACACCTAATAGCAAGACATCATGCATAAGAATCCATTCTTCCTTAGCAAATACAAAATATATATATGTCCCATGGAAAACTCCATTTTCCATATATCCATAAAGCTTTCTTCATGAAAGGGAAATATTTGTTTCTCCATAAATAAATTATTTATTACAGTTCAAGCCAGAGTAAGTTTTACAATTGCTTTTCAATATGATCTACTTAAGCCTGTTCTCTGGGAACTGCAGCAGAATTACTTAAATCTGTTTCATAATTTAGTTAAAAAAGAAGCAAGCTACTTTGATTCTAACCTCTGAAAAAGTATGTGGTGTAGCGTGTCAACTGGTAACATAATTAAAGAGTAGCAGTGATATACAGACACATTCAAAAATGGTTCTTAGAGCTTACATGCATTGTCCTATTCTGCAGAATTATTTTTGCAGAGCCTTTTGTGAATATCACAGACAGAATCCCACTATCACTGAAGGCAACTTTTGGGGTTTTTTGCTACCTATTTAGGTGATAAATAACAGAACAGAAATGTGTTGCAATTCAATCAAAAACACAGGAGAAGAAACAAGTATTTCCCTTTATTAATATATATCTGTTTACCATACAAGCTATAAATATGTACATAGATATTAAAAATTAAATATTAGTAATAAGAAAATACTCTATCATGTTTTATATTGTTATTTTAACTTATGTGGAGGAATATAAACTTGAACAAGAGGAGGATTGACTTCAAGTATTCCAGTATTTTTAAATCAGTTAGCAGCAAGATAACACACTATAAGAAACTGATCATGAGAGACCTGTCTTCTTAATATATATATCTTATGTTATTCTTACTCCTTGGCCAGCTGTACATTGGTCGGGTTTGCTCCAATAGGTATCCCATATTTGTGCAAAGTGCTGATTAAAATGTCACGCATTTCGTTGTTGTAGGAGTCAAAGTCAAATACATTTCGAACGACGTTCGCCAGTCCTTCAGTTGGAAATTTCTGTGAAGAAACAGAGACCCCTGAATTTCTTTTACTGAGTATCTGTTAAGTAATAGCATATCATTAAATACTTCCAAAATGAACCGTTATAACAGTAACTTTGCTCAACTTAGACAAGTGCTCAAGTCACCTTTCTTTTAGGTTCCAGAACAAAGAAAGTACACTGCTTCAAGTCAGAATGAAGTTCTTGACAGCAAACCTGAACTAAACAAACCAGCAGGAGACTATTATTTAACTACTCAGCATCAGACACGTTTTGAAGAATTGCTTTCATTATACACATAACAATCCGGGATAATCATTGAAACATATAATTATATATAGCCTGTAGTTTTTAAATTTGGAACTGCTTTCTGCTAACCATGAAAACCTGACACAAATACATATGCTTATATATTTTTCAACTACACAGTTCATTTAAGATTTCTGATTCTTAACGCTGAATATAGAAAAGCAGCAGATACACCGCTTACTTACTAAAAATGACTTTAAGTCATGATGGATTTTAGCAGAAACAGAAATTCACTTAAGATTTGCAAACAGTTTTTTTCTTAGTGAAGAATAAGACTTGAAATGTGCTGTGTACATTAAAAAAAACCCACAGTTTATCAAACTTTCATTAGTATTTCTAACAAAGGAAGCTTTGCTACTGGACTGGACTGATGATTTAAGGCCAGTGTGCTCAGGTTTGAGAACTGCCACTCACATATTCCCACATATTTTAATTACTGCTTTTCTGCAAGAAGAAAATATTTTTTTGCCTCTCATTTCCCAATAAGACCTAGAAGTCAGTAAGACATAAAAGCCGTGACTGAGAATTCAACTGAACTCATGTAATAGGAATAAACTGAAATGAAGAAGAGTTTGTTTGGTACCTGCAGAAGACCCTATAGGTGTGAAAAGCTGGCTTAGCCTTTCCGCAAACTGGTTCCAAGTGCTTAGTCAGTAACTTTCACTGTCTTTTGATTTACCCTGAATCTTCCATAGCAAACATTTAAATTAAGGAAGATTCCAATAACCATGGACCTTAAGGTACACAGCCATAATTTCAGGCTTAAATAAGCTTATATTTAAAGGAACATTTAGGTAATTTGAACACTGTATGTATTGTGCAAAATTTAGATTTAACCTGCCATTGATAAAAACTAAGATGAACATGCTGACACAGCTATGTCACTGAGCCTTTTCACAGATACTTTTTAATAAATCATCTGATAAAATCTTCTTACTTTTGTTAAGACGCAAATGGAGTAAATCAAATAAAAAGAATATTAAAAAAAAATTACCAAATTACTACACATCCTAGAACTTTACCACTGTACTGCTTTCTTTTACCTTTTCTGGCAAGAGATGGGAGTAAGAATCTTTTTATTTTAAATTTCTCACTTTGTCTCCATATGCCTTTCATTCAAATACTAGATTGTTGAGACAAGGACCAGGATGCCCCCATCATTTACAGTGATGAAAATAAACACATGAAGAAGTATTTTGGGGAGCTGAAGTCTTAATTGTTTTTTCCCCATTAGTGAACAAGGCTGGTACAAAAAACTTGAAAACAGACCTAATGAAAGCATCAGAGATATTTATAAATATATTAAAAATGAAGATATTTGAGTCCTAAATAAAAAGTAAAGGATGTGAAACCAGAAAATTTTCATAAATGTTTTGACCTGTACTCTCATACAAACATCAGCCTTAGTTAGGAGTCTAGTACTTTCTCATTTTAATAAACATCTAATTTCTAAAATAAAATATCTGTGACACAAGCAATACTAAAATTAGCTAGTTACTGAGGTAGAATGGAATACTACTGCTAGAAATAGGCTTGTACAAACCTTTTTAATCTGTGGTGTACACGCCACAGAATATGTCAGTACTGGTATTGGTATAAAAGCACACTAAACTATATCCTGCTTTTAAACTTGTCCATGAGGAACCTATTAGAAGTTCTGCATTATTACAGCTTAGCAAAACACAAGTTACCGTGGGATAAAATTGTCCTACAGCCTGTGTCATCCTGGTTACAATGTCCATTCCTTACTGAATAGTACAGGTACTAAAAATGAAATGTCTCCCAACAGCTATTCTAGCTAAAGACTACATGAACATTTCACATGTAGCGTAAATGCGGAAAGTTTGTGAAAAAGTTTAGTAGTGAAAGTATTAACTTCCATAATGCAAGTTGCAGCCTGGAGTCAACATAAACATCATTTTGAAAAAAGAAAAAAAGCCCACAGACTTACAAAAATGTACATCACGGTTAAGTAATTAATTTTAAAAATAAGTAACACTAATTAGTACTCAATGTGCAGGACCCTACCTCAGTCTGTTTTCAAGTGTCTTCTTATTCATAACAAGAACAAACCATGTCCAGAACTGTGCACACTCTATATCACCAAACCTTTCCCTTCAGCAATTATTTTATGGTATGATTACATATATGATATATAACAACATTTATGATGACGTATACTGCGTTTTCTGTGTTCTTCCTTTCTCACTGCAAAGCAAAACCAGCAAACTGGCATCAAGATATCTTGTTCACTCATGACCTTATTTTACCTGCCCTGCACTAAGTCCTGTAGAAACTTTGGTCAAGTGTTTCAAATATTATCTAGTTTTCACTAGCAGTCTCCAAGTATGTCCAAAGTCTTCTGATTCCCTGCGTAACTTCTGGCCTCAATATCTTTCTCCTCAATGAAAAGCCTCTATAGTTCCATGCCTCTTATATCAGTAGGACATAATAAATTTATTTCCTCAGTTAGAACTGATTGCTGCTGTCAATAAAATCTGTTCTGAACGCAAGCCACTTGTCAAAAGGTCCTCTGCTTCAGTTATTAAAAAAATCACAACTCTCTTGTTTCAATCAGAACAAATCCAACCACTTTTTAATAACTGCCTGAACAACTGCTTACTGAAGAGAGGCATAGACAGTTCACTCGAAGCAAAAAGGAAAAAAAAAAAAAAGAAAAGAAAAAGGTTTGAATGTTTGAGTTGAACATTTAAAAAAATCATTTGGTTTCCATTGATTTTTAAAACCAGATTACTGGAGAAATTATTGATCTCTCATCAGTCTGTCTGGTTCTCATTCATTGATTCTTCCCCCTACATGGTACACACTACCTCTGCGTGTACCTTAGAGCATTTTCACAGCATTAGATTCTTGGCTATTCCTTAAAACAGTAAGTAACATAGGTTTTGCTTTTAGCAACTTTATATTTTTATATTTGTATATTTTATCCTTTATTTGATACAGGGTTGTGACAGAATTTGGCTTGGTGAAAAATTCTTGGTTTTATGAATCCAGCTTTTCAGGAGTACATGTATTGCTACATGTACTACATCTGCTTAAAAGCTATCAGCAAAATAGTAGTTTGTAGTGCAAATACAGAATCTTAATTAAAACACGCTAAACACACTGAGGTCTACTGTTCTTCTACCAGTACCCTGAAAACCAAGTGACAAATTATCTGCTATCCAGTCTGTAATGAGTCCAGATTTTTGTTTTAGCCTGCTACGTTGCATTCTCACCCCCACTCACCTCCCTACATATCCCAGTGCCTTCAGATGCCCACACATTTCCCATCCTGCCAGCACCACCCCAAAGGCCCACCCTGCTCCTATGATGCTAACAGATCTCTCCCTACCCACTCATTCCTCTGTGCCCTTGCCTTCCCCCTGTATTCCCGATGCCTTTGCACTGAACATTCCCAGCTCTCTCTGTGTCTCTTCAGTTGTCCTGTCAGCAGGGCAAGAAGTCTAAGGCTCCTCCTGAGCAACAGGCACACTAATGAGATTAACCAGTGCTCATGTCTTTAGTGGGCATCGTCTACTGCCAAGCAGAACAGCTGAATTCTCCCCCTCCCTTTTCATTCACAGGGACACTAATTTAAATCTGTTCCTGTTTCACATAGCCACTGATTTTGATTAAACCAGCAGAAACCTAATTAACTTTGAAAACTGGTAACTGAGATTCACTGTGGTTGGCCAAAAGGGTGAAAGGTTATTATTGATGTGCGTTTGGCAGCAAGGTGAGAAAGGGATACAAACTGTGATTTGATAAGCTTAGTTTCCTTTTGAGATTAGGCTGAACAGAAAAAAAAGTAGTACTATCTTAGCACAAAAGCTTACTGAAAACGCCTAAAAACCCGATGATTAGTAGACTTCAGGGCCAGAAGGTACCTTAGACACTACTGCTTGAAAACTGCTATACTAGTGCCTATTATTAGAAAGTAATCTCAGATACAAACAAGAATGAAGGCCTATCAGAATGTGCTAGGTTCAGCCAGGAAAG